TTCAAAACCTCTGTTTTAAAAGCTGTCTTTTAGAAGGCAGGCTGTTCTCTGAGTGGTACCATACAAGCAGCCCTGCAAAATCTTACCAGAATTTTCTGCTTGAATAATTTTGTTTGGATGAGCGAGTAGAATATCATTATCTTGATTCCAACACCATCTCCTTAGGAAGGTGTAGGTGAATAGATTTTGTGCTGAGTCTCATAAATTCTCTGACAATTTTGCAAGTCTGTGTGTAAATACTGAGCCACAGAAGGGAGAGAAGACAGGAAAGCAATATGTGCCATGACTGGATCCCTTATGCCACAGCATACTTTAAGAATTAAGTATGAATATTATGCATACACCCAGTTTTAGAAGTGGGTGTTGGTTTTTTAGGTGTATTTGATTAAAAACAAGATAAAAATATGTAGAGGAGTTAAGTACATCAGGAAATTGTGAGAATAAGATGAACTCTACCTCACCAACTGTTTAGAATTTTACTGTCCCTGAGAGTATTAGCAATCCTAGTGTAATTTAGTGCTGTTCACAGCTGAACTTCATGCTATTGATCATGGAAGTCAACTGATTGAATATTGTCCTTAAGTGTCTATGAAAACAAGGAAAACTACTTCTTATATGGTGACTGTTATCGGCAATGCGCAGAGCCAGAATCACTGGATCGAGTTATTTTATGAACTTTGTGAATGGGACTGTGGTATATGATTGCTGTTACTGTTCGTTAGTTCAGAAGAAAGGCAAGTGGATAAGTTGCTAAATCCAGTGTTCACCTCCCAATCTAGCTCATAAATCTTCTGTGTAGGCAGCTATTCTTACAGGGGGGAAAAATGTAGTTAACTCTGAGATCAGAAACGCTTCTTTCAAATTTTATGCAAGATGACTTTGCACTGGTTGAAAACTGTAGGATTATCTCTTCTTGGACTTACAGGGTCAAACTGTGAAAAATACAGTAATACGCAAGGATACTGTAAAAATGAACACTTAATTGAAGGTCTATAGCCAATAGAGAGTCCATTTTTGTATGATCATCATTCTGTTACCATGCAAGGTTCTTTTTCAAATCAATAAATTACCTTTTAATACAGTCTGCCGTTCAAGATATAAGAAAGGATTGCAGGACTAGATTATTAAAAAGGAATGTTAGGAATTAGTAAAGCAGGTATTTTTATAACTTAAATAATTTTAGATCATTTTTACCTTGTTTAGGAATATACAGTAGTTAACTCCAATTATCAAAATAATTCAGTTTTTAACTACTGTATCTCTCCAATTTAGAGAGAAGGATGTTGTGGGGGATCATGTCAAAGGCTTACAGAAGTCCAGATAGATGACATCTGTAGCCCTTCCCATGTCCACTGATGTAGTCACTCCATGATAGAAAGCCACTAGGTTGGTTAGGCAAGATTTGCCCTTGGTGAAGCCTTGGTTAGTTGAGTTGCTTTGTTTGGCAAAACGAGCAGTTCAGCCTATAAAAGAGCCACTTCAGAGAAAGAAAAATCCTGACAGACTTGTAGTCTAGAGGAGAGAGAGAGCAAATTCTCAGAATAAGCAGAATTTCTCTTGCTGCTGTAGTCCTTGTGCAATCAGCAACCAGGAGACCCTGGTTAACACATAGACACAAGGTTTCTATGTTTTTGTCCTTTGGTTGTGTATGTATAAGCTCACACATGCTTATTACAATGCACTTTGAACTATCAAAATTAAAACACAAGTAATATGAAATACTTTCAAATTCATAAGTTTCATTAAATGATTATATGCTACATTCAATGGCTTCCTCAAAATAATATACTTTATTGCATACAATGTACATACACATAAATAATAGATTACAGTGTGATTTTTATCTATAATTGCTTTCATGTAGTCCCCAAATGTAACATTTAGTCTAGAGAATGCATATATCATCTGTTGCTGGAAACATACATATAATAATCCTGGCTTCATTTAAGTCAAAAGCAATTTTTCTGTTGATACTGGGGAGAGGGGTAGCGTTTTGCCCATAGATTTTAGCATTTTGAATATAGAAGTGTCAACCATGGGTTATGTGCTTGCTTAGTCTATGACTATTCAATATAATTTTTCTCCACTAATTTAGGACTCTGTGGTACATTTCTAGTGGGCACCAGCTTTATCTCATAAGCAGCATTAAAGTTCATGGAATGAGTTACTGTCTCTTACTTCAAACCCCTTAGTGTAAGGAAACCAGAATAAATGGACAAGCAGTTAATACCCTGGCTTTCCACTGTTCTAAAAACTTGGACAGAGAGCTGCATTTTGAATAGTTACTGATGATCCAAACTCAATCATTTTTTACAGAATATATAATAAAACACCAGTGCCTAAGTTAGGTGAATAAGTAAACTTCCTCAGTAACCTTTCCTTCAGATTTTCTGAAAAGTGTATAGTTGTTTCTCTAAGGTAACTTTTCTGAATGAAATAACATTGTGAGTGGCTCTGAGAATTACCTACATTGCAGCTTGCTCTATCAAGCAACAAGGGTCCTATCTTTCTCCAGGGAACTGTGAGACAGGTCTCTCATTCTTTCCCATCTACTCTCTCATCTCTCATTAATACTCCTGTGAAAATACCACCGTCCTGACCAAGGCTCAAAGCCTGTACTTTTGGATGTATTTTTGAGCCTTCAAATTTTGAAGCGCGTCTTCAGGTCACATCCAATCCTCGTGATTCATATTTTTTAATCTCTCAAAGACCTGGCCTTAAATCTCCATCCACACAAGTAAATCTCTTGCTCAAGCCTTAGCTATTTTGCAGCTTGAGAGTTCTTACTTAGTTACCTTTGCTACGTCAGAGCTACCCAGCTGCGTTCACGTTGTACTCATGGCCATTCCAGACACAGTGACTATCCCACTCCTGCATGCTGCTCTCTCTGCCCTTCCCACGTCCTTGCTGCTTCTCCGTACCCCATACAGCAAACATGAGCTTTTTCCTGTTGGCATAAAAAGCCACTTATATTTTAGCTTTGATTGGTCTTTTGACTCTACTGATTGGCCTTTTCGCTCTACTGCTTATCAAATGTTCATTTGTGTGTGTCATATCCAGCCCTGCTAATAGTAGACTGGGAATTGATTCATTTTAAGCACTGAGAATCTCAAACACCTTCTTCTTCCAGTTCCACCTCAAAAGTCATCCCCCTCGTTTCCTCTGTTAGACAGCATCATATGTATATCTGGCATTAATTGTAGCTTGTGTGTGAGTATGTGTTGTGTGTATGCAGCTACATATAAACACACCACTAACCTGATCCTGACTCTTACCCCTAGACACCTCAACAACACACATAATACAAACAAAATATATAGTATTGAGTCCACGCAGGTAATGTATGCAAGTGTGCGTGCAGGCATGTATTTACACGAAGGAGGAAGCATTTAGTATTTCTCAGCAGATTCTCAGAGTTCAAGCTGTAGGGGAGAGAGATGATTATGATGATGAAGTCTTATGATGATGATTAAGTTTTATGATTAAAGCACTGCCAGATCTCTCACTGTCTGCCTAGCTTCTCATATGGGTGTCTGGAAGAGAGCACGTTCTTAACTCAGAAGGTTGTTCTGAGGGTAAGTTGTTAGTAAGTGGTTCAGATACTGCTGAGATGGAGGTTACAGAAACAGGTAATAAAGAGTGATTTTAAACAACAGCATGATCCTTCCTTCAAAAGATAATACAGAAACAGTCCGAGTAACATGGTTAAAACCAGACAGTATTAGATACCAATTATCCCTGGTACTGACTACACTGGCTTTCTGAAAGGCCTATGGAGCAGATTTTCAGGGGAGCGGTAGTCTTTCTCTGGTGTGGCTTCACCTCGTTTTTCATTCTGCTTGTTTTGGTGGTCTGTTGAGAAGCATCCTCATTTCAGAGTAAAGGACATTTTCTGAGTAATGACATAGGCATGATGATACCAACAGCTTGTAACTACTCCACGGGCAGCTGCTGTGAGGGGGGAGAGGTTAAGTGGCATCAGCTGCATGCCGGGTGGAGAGTGAGAGAAGAAGGGTCAGAGAGAGGGAAAGCAAGCACATGTACCCATCCATGCCTGTGAGCAGGGGAAAGGCAAAGTGCTAAGCCACAGACTTAGAAACTAAGAACTAGAGAACTGAAGAGCCATTTCTTATTTTACAAGTAGACACCTCATGGGATTTTACCCCTGGCTGAAACCTATTTATATTTTTTGATATTTTTGCCAGGCTGAAAAACCCCATGTTCCTGATCCTTTGTACGCCAGGCTGTGATGCAAAGAGTGCAGACTGAATGGCTGTGCGCTTTCATATATATTCTGGTTTCCTCTCTGCTGTAACCTGTGGCCTCAGCCCACTCAGCTGTGTTACGGAGTGGTTTCATCTCTGTGTAGAACAGTGATTTTTTTTGTCAGGGCCTATAAACAGAAATAAAACTACTGCTGACTTTAGGCTTGGCTTTGTGGATGGCCTTATTTAGAGAATCAAAATTCCCAGTAGAATGCAGCTCTCGGGCCAGATGCTGTAAGGTGAATTGATAATACAAAGGTGGACTGAAATTGGGGGAAGAACTAGTGTTTAGGGTGCCAGTTGCAGCTTGGAAAAGAGAGTTTTGTAATCTAATATTCCATACTTAATATCCAAAAAAATAGCAGCAAAGGAAGTAATGATGATTTAGTTGATAGATTGTCTCTTTAAAAACATAGTTCTGCTTTGTAATGCAGTAACTTTTTTGAAAATCCAGATACATATGCACTCTTCTGTACGCATGAAATTACATGTATGTATGTTCCTGTATACACACATATACTTGGTTTTGCAAATGTGTATGGCATATAGATTGAAACTTATAGTGGATCTAAGTGTATCTATATACATATGTTTGGGTGTATAAACACATGATACGTGTATCTATACTTTGGCTACTGTGTTAACACACACACATATTTGGAAATTATCACCAATGATGATTTTCATGTCTCTAGTGCTTACATGTTTAAGCAACTTCTTTTTTGATTCATTTAGCAGCAGCAACAGAAGAACCTGAAGTGATTCCAGATCCGGCTAAACAAACAGATCGAGTGGTGAAAATAGCAGGAATAAGTGCTGGAATTCTGGTATTCATCCTGCTTCTCCTTGTTGTCGTATTGATCGTCAAAAAAAGGTAAGAAAATGATCTGTGCTGATCCCTCTTTTTTTTTTTTTCCTCCATTTCAAACAACAATCACTAAATGGGTATTTTTTACAGGTCATTTAAAAAAAAAAGTTTCAGAACCAGTAGCTCACATCAGCTTTTGGATGAGTTTTATGTTTCCTGCTGTTGTTGCTGTGATTCTTACGATGAATTTAAAGAGCGGATTACTTTATATTTGGGATCCAATAGCTATACACTTTCTCATACTTACTTATTTCCAAATAGTTTTAAGTTGCAGTTAGAGTAATGTACAGAATATTAAAATGAGTGGAATTGAAATTTATGGAGCCCTTTTTTTTTTAAAGCAAAAAAAAGAATAACTTACTGCACTTTTCGTGTTGTAATCACCTAATGAATTTGATTTTCTATATGCAGCTCTAATGAGTTATTTGTATCTGTATGTTATCCAACTTGCAAAATAATGTAACTTTATACCTCTATTTATGCTCTTGTAAACCTGGAGTTTTTTCTTAAAAGTCATACCACATCACTGTAAAATTATCTATTGAGTCCTTAGTGCATGAAGTTGTTTAAAAGTGTATTAATTTGTAATTTTAATTTTGTTAGTGCTTTCTTAGACAGTAAGCAATATCGCCATCTTCTGGCATTGTACAACGCTAGCTCCGCATCCAAATGGTCCTACCTATAGTAAATTGTGCTACCCTATTATTGCTTGGTCAGTTTTTAAAAGTCTCAACTTCCGAGTGGTTGCAACTCTTTTAACGTGGCATAAAAGTTCATAATACGGCTCTACAAATTCATAGTTACAGCATCAAAACCAATTCCTCTCTTTCTGTGCACCCCCTCCCTGGCAGGTACCTTCACAGGGCACAAGCTGATTTCTCTTGGGTAGAACGAGACCTTTGTCTTCCAGTGGTGTGTGCATTGCATTCCCTTGCCTTTTGCAGAAGTCTTAATGAAAAGTATATTTGTAAATGTTGTGAATGTTCCTCTGAAATACAGCTTGCTATTATTTTGAAAGATTAAGAAAAAAAATTAAAATTGTACCTAAGATCATTCTATATGTTATAATTACTTGGTTTGCATTAGATTTTTTTAATTTATTGCCTCTTTACAATTATCCCTGGAGATATATAACTTGGAGAAGAAACGTCTGCATTAGAAACATTAGGTATGCTTATAGTGTTCTGTGTTAGTTAGCTACATATGTGATTTTTCCCAAAAGTGCTTTTACTTTTCTCTGTTGTTTACCTCTGTGGTTGAGAATTAACACATATGCAAAAGGTGCAACTCATCATATGCAAAAAAGACATACAGTCAGCCAGTTTTCTTTATTTACACAACTTCTGAAAAACAAACAAAAAAAAGTTGTTTTTCCGCTTTCAGGAAGAAATCTCTATTTTATAGCTTTATTGCAAGGTATGTGCTGGAGAGTATCACCTTCTCAGTGCGTGTCGCAGTGGTCCCCTTATATTTAATAGAAGACTCTGTGTGTACACGTGTGTGTGTGTGTGAAAGAGAGACTGTCTACCACTATATAATGTCAGTCACGTCCAGATGGGATTGACTAGTTTTGCAGGTAACAAAAAGAAAAAGCTTAAAATTCAATGTGTTCATTTTTCCTATCCTTTTTACCTCTTGCATTCAGAGTCCTTTTAGACTCATACTTCCACTGTTGAATTGTTTGATGAAAGTAAGTTAATTATGTCCGTGAAATGATATTTTAAAATTTCCCCTTTCTCCCCCTTCCCTCCTCTGAACCTGTGAAGGCAGTACCCTCTTAGGAATGATACTTGATCATCATTCTAAAGCACATAACATTTCTAAACTCCTGTACTATTTTGTATTCAAAATAGGTGAGAAATTAACCTGTTTAATGAATCTTTAATGTTTGGCAATTTTTCATCATGATAGTTTAATTGGTTGTCTATCACGTATGTTGTAGGTGTCCACCCCCCCACCCCCTTAGGGAAAGTGGGCAGGTTTTTTTTAATACCAGCTTTAGTCAAGGTCTCTTACAAAAAGCATAGAAAACCTTTGTATACCTGAGTTAATTGAGTCCATCTAGTGAATCAGGGCAATTCATATAATGAAGCCAGGAACAGCTGTAAAAACCCTGACACATTCACATGTACATAAACACGCTTCACTTAGTTGTGGTGGGACTGAAAACCGATCCGTTTGAATCATCTTCTGTAGTGTACATATTCAGTGATCCATTATGTAGTATCCCTTTTGGTACCTGAATTGACCACAGCTTATTACACAGAAAAGTCAATTAAAAAATGGTTTCTGCATTTTCATTGGTTTATTAAGTTGTATGCACAGCCATCGCTATCTCAATCTGATTAAATGCAGCATTACGTTTTATTGAAAAACAGAGTACTAAGCAGTTTTGTTCACAAGCTTGAGATGTTTTAGGCTTTGCCTGATCATTTTGTACAAATTGATTTGAAGTTTTCCCGAATGAAGCTCTTAACAGCTCTTACAGAGTTTTACTGGAGTAATCAAACCAGCTAAGAAAAGGGATACTGCATCTTTAACAAGCAATGCCATTTTTATTTTCTAAGTCATTGTTGACTATTTCCAAATGTCCTTCATTTCCTTCCATTTGTTTACCTTCCATATTTTTAATGCTTAGCATGACTACATCAGCATTTCCAATTGTAAGATTTTAAAATAGAAAACATATGTTTGCATTCAGGAAATGTGTGGTATATATGTTAGTACACACATATCTGTTGTAAACGTGTGTTCTTTAAAATGTGCGTACTCATATAGCTACATATAGTACGCATACAAACGTATATGTATACACCTGTGTACCACTAAAGATGTTAAAATGAATAACATGAAATTTGTTTTCTGATTAAATGTATTTATTAATGCAATCTTTAGTTTTTGTAACTGAAAAGTAAAAAGCATATTTAGTGCACAAGATTTGTACACAGCTGTTCATTTGTCATGACATCTAGGTGGTAATCATTATATTATGCTGAACTGCATGTTGAAAATACACAATCCATTAATTTTTAAATTTTTTGGCAATAAATGAAATCTCAGCATGTAATTTTCTCAAGTGATCTTTCTAAAAAACAAATCATTTTTATATGCTAGTGTTTTTTTTTTTAATTGCATGGCAAAGTAAGGCTAGTTTGTGCATGAGCAAGTTGAAATGCTAACCAAAGAAACATGAATTTTTCAATTTTTTTTTTTAAACGCACATTTCTCTGCTTTATTGAATGTGACAGAGTCACGCTTTTCATTCACCATTGCTTCTCTTTTTCCACTGTCTGTGATTTGCTTGCCAGGAGGAGCTACTATTCTTACTCCTACTATCTGTAAGTAGAATACGGGTGACTTACTATTTTACATGTTTTAAAGATGCAGTATCCCTTTTTAAAAAAGAAAAACAGACTCTATAGTTTTCCTAAAGTTCTATTGATAGTTACCTTTCTTTATTCTCAGGCTTGAAAAATTGCTTGTATTATTGTTCCTGTTATTCTTACCCTGTTATTTTTTTTAAAGGGATATTGTATTTCTAACTGTATATTGAGACTTTTGCTTTTTGCTACAGTTTTTCCCATAACTATCATTTTGGTTTATTGTAATCATAATTTAATTTGCATTATGATTCACAGCGACACATCACACTAAGGAAAAAAACTCTTTTCCCATTTCCTAGCTAGAGAACTGCGCTTGTAAATCACAAATTGTTCTTTCTTAGCATGTCAGTTCAGGAGTGGTCCTGTGCACCACTTTTCCTATGCATATCATAGGCAGATGCCAGACCTTTATAATAGGTCTCTGCCCTACCAACGGCAGAGCAACACGTCTGCCTCTGTGGTACCATCCTTTTTTTTTTTTTTTTTTTTTAGAAAAATATTTAAATATTAAAGTATGGAACTTATTTTATGACATTGGTTTGCTAAAGTTCTGCTTCATTGAAGCAGAATTGACTTTTTTTTTATACGTGTTGACGAAATGAGTTTTTGTGAGGACTGCAGCAGTTTTGGCTGTAATTAAGCAAAGCGGTTACACACATTCTTAATTTTAAATAAATGCATAAAGCCCTTGACTTCAGAGGGGATCTAAGAATGCACTCAAGCGCTTTGATGAACTGGTGGTGTCTGATAATGATGCTCTTCCACGTTTTTAAGCAGATTAGTTGACTTCTTTAAACAAACTTAAAATTAAAAAAAAAAAGCTAAGCTGGCTTAGCTAACTGCCATTCTCTGGTTTATTGTGACAAATTATAATTTCCTTGTTAAATAACAATTGCTTCAGCTCGAGATAATTAACCGCACAGTTTCATCCTATGATGGAGCACTTCTCCCCTCCAGCTCCCACTGAAACACCCACCTGCGCAGGCTCACCCAACTGGATCCTTTAGCAGATAATGAGAATCTTTTACACTTTCTGTCAGCCTCAACTACTTTAACCTAATGATTTGCTTAACTCTCCTGAAGCATAGATTGCATGTGCCTTTAGCCTAGCGATGGAAGGAAAAAGGGAAAGGAAAAAGAAGTCAAACCGCGAGGGAGCCAGGAGCTGTTGAACAATAAAGCTGTTCTCCCATTTCCCAGCAGCTTTGGGTTGCAGTTCTGCAACACAATGGGCCTTTTTAGGAGCTGAAGCAGAGCATAAGAATTAGAAAGTAACTACTGTAATAAGCTAATAACTTGAAAGCCTTAATAGCTGTTGATTTATTTAGCGTAGCTAGCAAGTTTTGTTACAAAGTGATGCTTCAAAGAAGGTCTTAATATAATTGTGAGATGAGATGTAATAGTCTTTTTGTTCCATTTCTGAGGTGGTGTTAGAAAAAGACGATCTTCAGTGTATAGAGAATATCCAAAAAGCTTTGAAACTTAAAAAGCCAGTCTGAACTAGAAATGCCAGTTTTTGTAAGCTTTGATAGTATTGGGAACCAGTTATAAATCTCAAGCAGTTTCGCTTCTGGAAGTTCTGATGGTCTTCATTTGTTCAACCAGAGTATCATTTAAACAACTTTTCTTAAGTAAATAGGAATGTGTGGAGTAAATGTATAAAATAAAGCATTTTAGGGGGGACATCCAACTGTCACTGTTTTTTTAGTTTTCATTGAACAACTGATACACACAGAGCCCTCATGTACACCAAGGGTTTGATGAAAAAATGATAGGTTTAGAGACCACCTTTGGGATTTTCGTAGCAAGGGGGTTACTGAGTAGCAATTTTCCAACTAGTCTATCTGTAAATGGGGAAAAGAAGGCGGGGTGGGGGGGGTGACAAAATAAGAAGATTAGTCTAATCGGTGAAAGAATCTTTGTTATTCTCAGGAGTGCTTTGTCCATCTGTGTCCTACTTTGTGGCCCCTTATTGTGAACCAAGACTATTAACTTGGAAACAATCCTCTAACATTTTCTTAAATATGCAAAAACGTGAAGTGCTCCCTGCCCTAGAGATTGGTGTAGGTCCTTTCTGGTGGATGTTCCCAGGACTTAACAAGTAAATTGATGGATAATTTACACTAATATTCTTTTTGTCTACTGTTAGAGTGCAGCACAGAATATTAAAAGTTATCAGAGAATAGAGGAAGAGCAAGCAGCCCTTTTAGAGAAATGTAAGATAAACACTCTCTAAACAGTTAACAGGATATTTGATGATATTTTATGCAGAAAAAGCTTGTGAAGCTAAGCTGTTTTTTAAACATACATTTTCAAGAACCCAGTATTTTCAGTGATGATTCTGTCTCTTCCACGTGGTGTCAGATTTATCCAAATAAGCAGGTTGGCTATCTGTTATGTTGCATCATAGCTTCAGATGAAAACAGGGAGATTTCAGAACAGTCTAATGTATGTCACAGGTTCCTGCAGAACCAAGGTGCACTTTATGCTGCTCTGTATACTTCCTACTACTTGAGATACATGGTTTAAGAGTAGTAGGCTTTAAGTGGTAATTAAAATATATTGTCTGTTTCCATCTGACTTCTGGAGACAGTGAAAATCACTTCCAGTTCTTCACCAAAAGGAAAGAATAGAGAGATATTTCTGAAGTGTGCACTCTTAGGGCATTGGCTGTTAATTTGGGGGGTTTAGTTGTACAGATTAGGTTGCTGTTTAACTGTGATACATTCAGAGTGTAAGACTGTTAATGTCAAAATTTTAGATGTTCCCAAACTGCATGAAAGGGTAGAGTGGTGAGGGGGCTTTTGTTTGTTTTTTAAAGAACCAAAGTTCAGTGTCAGGAACAAAGTGTGGTATCATGTTGTATCTTGTGTACTGAATGGGAAGAACAACTTTTAACATAAAAGGTAATATGAATCCATATCGAATAATTATGTTTCTTTTGTTATTTCATAGGTTTTTTGACTAACAAAGTAATTTAGAAGGTTAAATGATTTCTTCCTAACAAGGCAAGCAAGGGGAATGAATTATCCATTTGTAAAATCAAAACACAGATTTAAATGGAGATGGTTGGTAAAACTGCATGCACAGATGCTTCTTATTTATCATTTCAGTTGAAATGTAATTATATTCTCTAATTTGTTTATATTAGTGTAATTACTCTGCAGGAAAAAAAATATTACCAGGGTACAGAAGTTAGCACTTCCATTACAGCATTTGTGTGCGTACAGAAAACACACGGTCGCGACTCTTTCATAGCAGGGTGCATAGTTTTATCAATTTCACGCTGGAAAAGTTATACACAGGAAAATCAGCCAAACTTTTCAGTCACTCAGGATTATAGATAATGATTACTGTAGACATCAATGTTCATCAAATATTAAGGTGGTTTGGGTTTTTTTTTTTGGCTGGGCAGCAAACTTGCGAAGAAGCGCAAGGATGCCATGGGGACCACCCGCCAGGAGATGACACACATGGTGAATGCGATGGATAGGAGTTACGCTGACCAAAGCACCCTGCATGCAGAGGATCCCCTTTCAATCACATTTATGGACTCTCATAACTTCAGCCCCAGATGTAAGTACAACAGTTATAGATACTCTGGAGTGTAGTTGAATATAGAAACACGGAAAACAATTCTACTTTTTAAGGAAAATTGTTTTAAGCTCCAGGTTTTCTAGGAACACTGGTAAACCCAAAGGTTGAGCAGGGATGTTCGTATCCTTATTGGTATGTGGCCAGTTATTTAAATATTTACATGTACTTTCAGTATATACTTGTTCTAAGGAAAATACTACACTTCTAGAATATCTCCATTAAAATCTGAAATTGAGTTTTCCCTCATGAGGATATTTTATACCAACATGTTAAATATTACTGCGTAACACCGTGTCTGTAATGAATAATAATATGAGGTCCAAATTAATTTCTTTCTTTTGGCAGTAAGGATGTTACAACAGAAGGAGACATTGACAATTTTCCTTGCTGTTTGTGAAGTTTAGGAACAAGCTTGTTAATGTATCTGCAAATTTGCTCTATATTTGTATTCCTTTTTTGTAGACTTGCCAACTCTCTGGTTTTGACAAAGTTTGGCATTTGGGTTTCTGACTGTTAAGTGTCTGGGTTATAGCTACCACTGTCCAGCACGCCTGCCTCCTAGCATCTGCACTATGCCTTGCACAAAAGCAAGATACTCCGCTGGCAAATTCTGAATACCTCAAAGCTAGTGTGTAAGTTACCGAAGGGACACAATTCTGCCATGGAGCTAGCAGGAACCTGACCTTCTCATGGCCACGTGGACTTGTGGCCTGGCTTTAAACAGATCTGAGCAGCATGAGCTGCTTCTGAATTGCCATCTTTTGGGAATGGCACTCCATCTCCCTTCTCCGGCCTCCCATACTGCTTACCATGCTTGAGCAAAATACATCCCTTAAGGCTCTTAAGTTGTAAGGGAAATGGATTTTGGAGGAGGGTTTATTGCTCAGTTTATTGAACCTTACCAAACTGCAGAGTGCTAATATTTTAAGTGTCTCATAACCAATTATAAATGGGAGTTTAGTATTAGCCTGTGAGCTTTTCTACACAGTTTTGGCTGGAGCTGTTTGAAAATTCTCCAAAGTTTGATGTCTTATTGGCATTGAAATTTGTGGAGGCAGGTTGGCAAAGACAGTTCGATTTGGACTAAGTTATGGTGGATCCCAGGCAAAAAATCCATCAGGAACCTCCATGGCTATTAGTGAGCCAGGGCTGCCAGGCACTTGGGCAACCTTCCAGACGGACTGACGTGATGCAAAGAGCCCATAAGCCCCAGCCACCACAGCTGTCGTGGTTGGTTGGCAAAGAAGTTTGGCATCACTGTTTTCCAGCGTCCTAGGTATGTGATTTTTTGGGTGTTGGAGGATTCAGTTCTCCTGACCATCGTCTGTGCTGAGGCAAAGAACCATCCAAGCTTCCAGGCTTTTCTGCTGTGTGGCAAACTTTTAGGCAGATTGCTTGAGAACTGGAGCTAAATTTTGTCCCAGAGCTGTTGTTATTTTAAGTTTTTGTTCCAGATTGGAACAAAACCAAATTCTGGATTCCGCCATTTCTGTCCAAAACAGCGCATTTGTCTCTGCATGGTTCTAGTGTGATAACAAATGATAAAATTCTATGAATTTTATTCAAACATCTGCATCTGTGTATCTGTGATTTTCCTATAGTCATTAAGAACAATGTCTTTGGCATTGCACATAAAAAAAGCTATTAACTATAAATATGTATATAATTTTTTTAATTACCTGGAAGACTTTAAAGAAATACCATTTTATTTTGAAATGAGCTATTCAAGTATTACATGAGAGGATGGGTTTAAAAGGAAAGGAGTTGGTTCTATGAAAGTGAACCTTTATTGTGAAGCAAAAAAACAATAGTGAAAAGAAGCCCTTTCAAAAACTAAATTGCATGTAATGTCTTCTTTATTTCATTTCAGTAAGAATCTCTTTGCCTTTATCATTACATTTCTGAAGTCCAAAATCACTGCCTTTCATACCTCTTTTATTCAGGATGCTTTCTGGAACTGTGTATTCATTCTGATTTTCTGTTGTAACAAAATTAATGGGGTTTAGTTATCGCTTGGTTATACTCTGAAGTATATTGTTTTTATTCTTAAAAATACACAAATTGAGGGTAATGTATTTCTTCATGAGCTTTGTTTTCCTACAGTGCCCAATGATCCACTTGTGCCGACAGCTGTGTTAGGTGAGGACTCTAGTCCTTCATTATCCATTCCTGCATGAGTTTTGTCTCCTTGCATGGTTGAACATTGGAACAGCTTGTTTTATGTAAAAGATGGCTATGCTGTTGTCAGAAAATAACTCTACACTCAGTTTATCAATTCAGAATTAAACTGAAACTGCTTTTAGAATAAAAATTATTTTATGTTCTCATTAAGAAGTTATTCCTAGTCAGTGCCAACTGAAGAGTAAATGAGGAAACAGGTAAATGGAAAATACTATAACTTTTCTACCCAGAGCATTCAAACTGAGTTCCAATAAACTGACATGTGAAACTTGAAGTCTCTTAAGAGATATGTAAAAATAAAATTCAGATCCGTATTAGTAATATTTGGTACCCAAAGCTTGATTTTCTAAGTAAGTAACAAGAACGAAAAGAAAAATAGAAAAGGGAAAACTTCTGAAATATCAGAGAGAAAACAACAACTTTGTAGGTTCTATACAAATATTCTTGTATACGTATATTAATTACGTTTTCAATTGACCTTAACTAGTAAGTTTTTCAACTTTGTACTTACTTTAAAAAGAAGAACAGATGTTGGGAGTGGCCAGGCTGCTTATTTCTATGTCGCATCTAACACAATGCACATTTTAGCGTTTTTTAAAAAAATACAGAGATAAAAGTGTAATTTGTACTCAAGTTCTTGGTTTGATAAACACAATGTGCAGTATTGAGTTTCAGTCAGTTGCTGAGGTTATTTTAGGATAAAAGACAAATATCAGGAAGTAGACAGGAATATAAACTGATGTTGAAAATTAGATTTCTAGAGGTAAAGCTTAAAGGGACCTGGAGACAATTTAATCCCTCGTCCGTTTTGAGATGGGACATTACACCTATAGTATAGACTGTTTCTGGCAACTGATTGTTTATTGTGTTTTAAAAATCTGTAGTGAAGAGAATTTTACTTTTGCAGTGGCATGTTCCAGTGCTGAGCTGAGTGGAATAGGTACCCCCAAGCCCTACCTGTAGTGTTCCTGTTACCTGAACTGCATTTTGTCCTTTTTATTGCACTCGTGTTGCTGACTTGTATTGAGTTACCTGCTAAAATCCCAGTTATCATTAACCAGTCCATTAATCCATTTTATAGTTATATATTTGACTTCCCTTTCCTACACACAGTATGTTGCATTCACTGTTTAATTCACTTTGCTGATTTTTGCATTGTCTCCCAAATAATCAAGATAACTTTGAAATCTGATCCTGTACTTGTGAAGTGCTTGCGTTACCTTACTGCTAGTGCCCTCTGCCCATACTATCAGGGTATTTTCTATCCCATTATGCAAGTTGTGGGTAAAAATACTGATAGAGAGTATACCCAGGAGGAGCCTTTGCAGATATTCGTGTGAAGTGTCCTCTGAGACTGACAGCAAATCACTATTTCTGAGTAGTCTTTGGTCTTTGTCAAGCTGGTGTATGCTCACCGTGTGGGAGTTTTATCAAGTCATATTCTGCCCATTTCCTTTTGATAATGTTGCAAATGCCATTCTCTTGACTACAGTAGTGTCTTAGAAAGTTTATAACCATCGGAGCAATTAGATGCTGGAGCCTTCCACTTTGGGCCCAAGGAAACCTAACCAGGTGGTTTGAGAAGTTTATGAGGGGTGGTGAAATAGCACTGTTGCCTGAAAGAGCAAAGGTGTAGACTCAGTAATTCTGAATATTTCCTAAAATTGGATCAGTGGACTTACAGTCATAGAAAATGAGTCTTTTCCTGAAATTCTTCTAAGATCTTCTTGTATCTTTTAGCTTTATTTCAGGCACTTACAAGCTACATAGATACTATCTGGTGGTACTTGTCAAGCTGTTCCTAATAGCTCATTTAGGTTATAAGCATATTCCAAAGGTCGTTGTGTTGCCACTACATTGTGGCAAACAGAGACACGGGCAGCTGTGAACAGCGAGGACAAGGGATTAATTGAAGAACAGTTTAATAGTTCCTGTCTGCATTTCCATCTACTGGTAATGGTGTTTTGGGCATGATACTTTCCTGGTATAAGCAAAGCAATGCTAGTTGGAAGAGGTAATATTTTTCATTGCGTGGACTGAAATAGCGGAGAGAAGTAGACAAGCTTTTGGGCACACTATGTAGAAGGGGTTGGGTACCCATAAGCTTGTTCTTTTGGAACTAGATCATTTGGCCTACTCCATCTCCATGTAGCCCTTGCTTGGCCCAGCATCACAAAACAGTTTTCCTCTGTTCTATTTAGAGATGAGCAAAATCTTATGGGCTCTAAATTATGGAACATGTTATTTTATATAAAGCTCTTATTACCTTGTAGCTGTACCAGGTTTCTTTTTCTTCATGTATAGGTTATTAATGCTACTCTCCATTCTGTGTACATTAGCACTAAGGTAGTATGACAATTTTGCTTTTCTCAAGTCCCTATCATTACATTGATGGCATAATAATGTGGCCCTTATATTTTTAAAACGGCTTTCATTGTTACCTATTGTAAAGCTTTAACAACTTTTTAATGTCATTTTCCTTTAGTCATTTTCTAACATAGTCCTGAAATAAATTTCTTACGTTCTGTTCACTCATTGTTTTTTGCTGCTTCAATGGGTTAAAGTGCCTATTACTGGTAAGTATACTGCAAGGAATGGGGAGAACTGCAAATCCTGAGGTGGTTTGAAATGTGTATGATTTAATATGGGTAGCACTACAATAAAAAGTGACTGCTGCATGTCACTCACATTATTAGGCAGTTTAGTGAGGCATAAACGTACTGAAATCAGCAACTTTTGTCACAGTTCAAAGAATTGGGTTTCTTACTAGGAGATCTTATTTTCAGAAGACATTAATGGGGTTTGAATTTTGGTGGAATTGTAGAAAATCCAACCCTTGGGGTGTTCATTACTTTCCTAGTGTTTTACTTCCTAATCTGGATCCTTTGCAAGGAAAATGGTATACTGATTTCAAAGAAGTGTAGGGAGGGGTCGGCTACCCACTTCTCATTTCGATAGCTACTTTCCAAAAAGGTTTCAATTAGAATTTTTCTTCCTCTCTAAATTCATTTGAACTGCTGATTGCTAATTTAAAAAAAAATATTTCACAGAAGGGATTGACTAAATGTGAACACTTCATGCATCCTTGACATTTGGTTTTGATAAGAGAATTGGTGTAACATAGGGCATTAGAGGAGACTTCTTTGTTTATATGGAGCAAAAACTGCAGCTGAAATCAGCACACTCAACAGTTTTCGTTTCTCTACCTAAAAGACCTGAGTTAAAATGACCACTTCGAAGTGCTGATTCATCTTCCCAAATGGAGGTAGTGTTCTGAAGCGGTAGCATAATTGCTTCTCTTTTTTACTGGGATCTCAATTTACTGTTTGTTGACTTTAGACAAATGATGTACTGATACCACTACAGAGTTATTCTAATTTATTGTTTAAGGTGTAGTATTGCTGTTGATACATATTAGCCATTAAAAAAGTTACTTTGGGTGATAGAGCCTGGAGTTTCCAAGTACATTAATGTCATAAAGTTTTGTAGCTTCAAATAAAATGCCCTTCAGACATCTTTATTGCGGGATGAAGGATTGCAAACTTTTGTATGTGTTTGCAGTTAAATTCCTTTATGTACTTCACAGTATTTATGTGCTGCAGAGTAAGTGCTTTGCGTTCTCAGAAATTAGACATGTTTTTGAAGGAAGAGGTTGAAAATAGACATTGATAAGTATAGCAGCAGGTGTTATTGCCCTGCAGGTACCTAATGCATTGATTTCTTATGAATACAGATGAAAATCACAGTGCGACAGCAGAGTCCAGCCGGCTCCTGGATGTCCCTCGTTACCTCTGCGAAGGCACAGAATCCCCGTACCAGACTGGGCAGCTGCACCCTGCCATCAGGGTGGCTGATCTGCTGCAGCACATTAACCTAATGAAGACCTCTGACAGCTATGGATTTAAAGAGGAATATGAGGTGAGATCTTCAGTGGTGGGTTTTTGCTAGGAAAAATCTCTTTGAAAGGGACAGCCTTTTGTTTGCATTGCATTGCAGAAGGATGCAACTGAATGTAATGGGTTTAAGTGAAAAACAGATAAAGAAAAGCAGACATAAGATTCCTATATATGTAACCCAAAAGTGAAACAGTGAGTGGAGTCTAATGGTTTGAGCCATTAAAAGTGCCTGGAAAAAACACTGTCTGTATCCTCTAGGACATAAGAAGACATGCCCTGCTGAATCTTTTTGGCATATTGTAAGAAGTTGCCACCCTTTTGTCGCTGCTTCTTAGTTGAAATGCTGTTACTAGTTATGTGAGTTTTCCGAGCCATCTTCAGTGCGGATCTCCTGGATTAGGTTAAAGTGAAGATTTAACCTGGCTGGTTTTGTGAGAAGCACTGACCGGCAGCACTCTCGTGATTTATTATAGCATTTCAGTGGGGCAATACTGGGACTAAACTCCAGCTGAAAAGCAGTAAAGACGTGCTGAGGGTAGTAACTTCTTGAAGTTCTAATTAGACCTGGCTGAGCATGTCTATTTACAACTTTAATGTTAAAATGGAAGCAAAAAATTCCCAGCACTGGGGGCAGAAGATGAGTACAGATTCATTTGGCTTCTGATCTCTGAATCTGTTGTGATTCTTTGGGATTAGAATATCAGGCAGGACACACAGTAAAATGGAAAAGGTACTGACAAGGTTGCATGCAATACAGTAGGTTTAAAATGAGTTTTTTCCTGAGTAAGTAATCTCTTCTGACTCAGTTTTCAACCTTCTCTCCTTTCTGCAGCTGTCTCTACTGTAACATAAGAACTGGAATAAATAAATGTCTGGTTTTTAAAAGAATATTATTCTCTTTTCCTCTCTTTTACTTAATATGCTTCATTATGCTCTGCCTAACTTCAGGGCTAAACCCAAGTGTCAACCACTGCTGGGGGAAGGGTGGTCCCTGATGCCACATCAGGTGTTTTCCTACTTGTTGCTACTTCTGTTACCATACATGACATCTTTGCCCTGGCTTGTGCTTCTGAGTGTCCATTAAAGTTTTTTTTCCGTGGCTACTGTGTACTTCCTGGAGGTAACTTACCCAGGTCAGGATAAGAGAACATCTGGAAGGAAAGAATAGCATAGACCTGCAACAGCTGTAAAATATCTACAGGCAATGAAGAAAAAGCCAAGGAGGAATAAAAGCTGTTTCTATCACTAGTGAGAGATCAGACTCTTAAGAGTTCAAAAATGTAGAATAATTTCCCTAGTGGCTAAAGGAGGAAAACCAACATGAACAATAAACATTGGCAGAGGAGGCTTCCTGATGGCTCTATAGGAAGAAAAGCCATTTTACTAAGCAACATCAGGAAAGCAACGTAACGCTGTAGTAAACAGGCTATATATTATGGTGTCTCGTAAGAAGGGTGGTCAGCCTCCCTGTGCTTTCGCAGCTTACTGTTGTTCCTCAATAGCAAGGATGTCTGAGCAAGTTTAGCCTTCCAGCGATTCCAGGATTTGAAATCCCTCTGCAGTCTCTCAGTGACTTACCCATTGACCCGTAGCAGTCAGAGGGAGAGAGCCTCCCTTCTTCTCTAGATATATTTCTATAGCGTGGTACCGTCTGGGTGACCAGAGCGGACAAGCAAAGCTGAGTTTACTTTATGGTAGGGCAGTTCTTTTAAACTGTTGTTTTTGGAGATAAATTAATGGTCAGAATGTTTTCTTTCGGAACGTTTTTATTTATAGAGTTTCTTTGAGGGGCAGTCAGCTTCTTGGGATGTCGCTAAGAAGGATCAAAACAGAACAAAGAACCGCTATGGAAACATTATAGCATGTGAGTATCAGTGTGCTTGGTTTGAGCGGTAGCTGTAGTCGTGTGTTACTCGTGCCATGTTCTCTCTTCCTTTACAAGTCTCCGGTGGCATAGCTGCTTAATACCTCAAGCGGAGGAGGAGGACTATGCCTTTTCCAGCATTCTTTTTTGTTCGTCACAGTTCAACTTTCTTCCTTTTATAACTCAGGCTGAATTTTGCATTTGCATCTCTGTTGTGCAAGCTGTGGTAAGCATATAACAGTGACAAGCCAGCACTCATGTGGATGTTAATTCTGTGGCAGTTTTCTACAGTTATAATTTATTTCAGGTAAATCTGACAGCTTCAAAACTTTTCTGCTTTATGTGATTTATAGCTGTTACACCTGAATAGCAGTTGTGTTAAACTGATGATTAAAAGACATGACTAAAATCAAAGGGTTCTGTCTCTTGTCTTTAGGCATAAAGTTTCAATAGTTTAGATTCATCCCCTGGGATAATGCAATTTGTTACTGTTTTACAAATGCGATCGAACATGCAGGAATGAAGCTATCGGAGAAGTCCCTGAACGGGTAGAGTTACTTCTTCATCAAATCCAAAGTGCATTGCTAAACATTGCTAACGTACTTTTTTAATGTCTCACTATCAACTTAAGCAGGCTGGGGTCAGAAGTAAGGAAACAGTAATCAGGATTTTTGGTTTTCTAGATTACCATCAGTGGAGCTGATTTTGAAAGGGACTTTGAGCAAGTAACCTGGTTTCTTTGTGTCTTTTTAACCACGTGTAACAGTGTGATACCTTTCAGCTATGGTTAATGAAGTTTAGTGAATGTTTTTGAAGTAATCGCAGACCTCAGAAAAAATGGTTCTTTGTAATTTTGTGTAAACACTTACTATTAAAGAGTTGTAAATTGTGAGGTGCTTATGCCAGCTGATTTTGGTTTTCTAGACGACTTACCATAATATCTTACTTAAAAATCACACTTCAAAAAGGCACCATAACTGCTTGGTTTTTACAGATGACCACTCCAGGGTGATTTTGCAACCTGTTGAAGATGATCCATCTTCAGATTACATTAATGCCAACTACATAGATGTGAGTGGATTGCACAGCTTTCTCCCTCTCAATTTGCCAGCTTCTCTATGTGAAACTCTTGCATGTTATGACTACAAATTTATTGAAAGCTTTCTTTTATTAAGAACAAAATGTACACTTTACTTGTTCTACGTCCTAGTACTCACTGACATTGTTGTGCTTTCTTTCACATCTGACTTTGGTTTGGGCTGTAGATTTGGCTGTACAGGGATGTAAGTACCACTATATGTGAATAACGGCATCCTATTGTAAATATTTAATATAGATATTGTTATTAATTACTTTCCTATTCTATTTTTATCACTAGATAACTATGCATGCCTCATTTAATTTGTCTCATCTGTTCCTTTAAAAAATTTCCTTTTGTGTGAATATTCTTTGTACCTGTTTTGAAAAGATAATTTAGCCTTTTAACATAGTTCTGAATATTGTTAGATATTGTTAGATAACTCAGGTGAATCTATCTGTTAAAGGGAATTTCCTGCTCACTTTTTTTTTTTTATGATGATGATGGTTTTGGCCACTAGCTTTTCTTTTCCCCTTTCCATTTATATGTGAGAAGCTGTATAGTATACTGTACTGTAGTCGTCTGAAAATGTACCTGTGAAGTAGTCGTAATGTATGTTTGGCAAAAAGGGAGACATGATGGCCTTTGGATGGAGGGGATGTTTTTAACAATGATTTAGGCAAACAATTAGCTGACATTTGTCTTAAGGTGCTAACTTAGGTATTACAAAGATATACACAAACATATATATATATAAAAATTTTTTAAGATAGTAGAAATTTCCTCGCTTCTGCAGAAGACTTCTAAAGTTTGAAATTCCATGCTTTGATTAAAATACAAATTAAATTAGAAATTTAAAAAAAAAACTGATACAAACAGGAAATTTGAACAAATTCTGCCGGGTGTTTTGATTAACAAAATATAACTTTTGTCCAATTAACACCTTAGAAATAAACAAGTAGTTGTATTCAAAGTAATTCCAAAGTAATTTGAAAGATACTGGAGTAGCTAGTACAAGTGTTCTTAAAATACTGGCTTTGGTTGCTTTTCTTTATAATTGCACCTTACTAATTTTTCCTGTTGATAAATTATTTAAGACCCTCTCGACTTTCCAGGATATAAAGATTTAACTCCAGGTATATCACTTTTTATTTTGATATTTTTACACAGCAATTTTTGTGAAGTGTTAGGTCTGTGATATTTTGCCTCGGGCCTTATACAAGAAAACTCACCCAGATTTGTAATAATTCCAGTTCCTTGAGGACATTGTTTCTCTTATTTAGGAGTAAATTGAACCTCATTATAACCAGTCAGGAAAGCTACAAGTTAAAACTGGCACTTTGCAATTTTAAAGTGACACTTTTACCTTCTTCTGAAAAGCATTATTGAGTGTAAAACAGTGTAGCATAGGTTCCACTTTCATAATTTGAAGCTGTGACTTGATATTAAGGACTCCAGGAGAAATTTTTTAGTCATTTGATACAATCTTGGTCTTTTGTAAAGCCAAGAGTAAGATGCTCAGAAGTTTTTTTCATAAGCCCCAGACGAAGGTGCTCTCACTCGAGACAGGATAATGAAGTAGTCTGTGGAAAAGGATATAAACTCCTTGGGTACATTGAAATCCTTCACTTTAGTAGCATCTTGTGAATACCAGAAATCCAAAGACTTGTGCTCCCCTGTAATGCAATACTTGAATCAAGTGGCCTAATAAAACTGTAACCTAGAAAATAATTGGAGTTATTTCTTTAACATTTGCACATTGTGAAATTCTGCATTGACTTCTCTAGCAATACTGAAGTTTCCTTCCTCTTTGTAGCTATTGTTGCTGGGACTGGTCAAAATATATTCTGAATTATTTCCTTGAGAGCAGAATCTCTTTGTCTTGTAGTTTTTATGCAGACAATTAATGCTGTACAGTACCGCTACCATTGGCATAGACCCAGCTAACTGGAAAGGCTTAGTCGTGTAAAAAAACTATATATATGTATGTGTATATACTTGTGCATATCACGACCAGTATAATTGGTGCACACTTTGTGCAGTAGCGCAAAATATGTTGCAGAAGATTCCACTGCAGTAGGACCTTGATTCTGTGCACACACCACAGTGTCCAGCTCTGTCCCCGTTAGCTATGGCTCGGGTTCATACCTCTTTGTGCCTTACAATAATCCTCTATTTGGAAGAAGACAAAAGGTGTGTATTTTTTCATACTGGATGAGTTGGGGACACAGATCAACTATTGAGATAATCTGGTGGCAAAGACAATTTTTACTAAATTTTAAATAAACGTCCCAATGTATTTGGCTGGGGAGATAATGTCAATAGAGGACTAATTTTTAGGTCTAAGGGACCCATCTAGAATACTCTTTAAAAAAACATACACTACGATGTCTGTTCAAGTCAGATGTTCTTATTTCCATTTTATCTGTTGTCATTCGAACCTTTTCAGTATTAACCGTTTTTTTAGGTTTTGAGCTTCATGCTGCTCTTAAATATTGGTTTGTTCTGAAAATGTTGTCTAGAGATAAGAATTCTGTAGTACCCTTATGCTTTTATTTTCCCCTCTCTGTTAGTAATATGGTACTCAAACCAACTTATATTGCTGTTTTAGGGATATCAGAGGCCAAGTCACTACATTGCAACCCAAGGTAAGAATCTGCCAGCATTAATCAAACCGAACAAGTGTTCTCTGTAGTGTTTCAGCAGTGTTTTGGTAAAATGGAAGGAGATGAAAATAAAGCATATCCAATATTGTGAGTTGTCGTCTTGTGTTATGGTAAATTAACATAGCATGTTCAGGTGGAATGTGAATAAATGCAAAAATTGCACTAATTTATCATGTTAATTAGATATTGAGCAACTCTTTCAGTGATAAATTCAGCTGATAAAGTCAGAAGCTACTACCATGATTTCCAATTACGAAGATGAATAGAGAAAAGAGGCATGTGGACAGAGAAGAGAGCAGTTTTAACCTGCCTTAAGGCATTTTTCTTTCCATATTATAATGTATTATTTTACTGTCTAGGATTTAGTCCAGGATGGAGACAGTGAAGATAGTAATGATAAATTAAATGCTATCTCAGAAAATCTGGGTAAAGTAAGGCCAGAGAAGGACAAAGCCTCTTTGTAGGAAGAAGTGAGGGAAATCTTTCTCATATAACACCCTGCTAATAAAAAGGGGAGTTAGAGGAAAAAATTGAATTTCTGTAGAAATTATTCATTTTGTATTTCTGATAAAACTACTCACAATGAGGAAAAACAAATAGATTAGTCTAAGATTGCACTGAAATATAAGAGGCTATGAATTAAAGTAAAAATAATTAGATTTAGATGTGTCATTATTTGATCTGTCAATATAATCAGATAGCTGCCTGGAAATACCCTGTTATTTGTGCCCTTGGTTGATTGTAGCTGTACACAGGAAAGACAAATTAAAGGCTTGTTTTAAAGCAGGATGTTCAAATTTCTGGCCACATTTTTTTTATTTTTGTGTAAATGCTGTCTAAACAGGTCTCTCTATGGCAGTTAAGTCTACATTTGTATTTTATTTCTGTTTTACTATGTAAATCATTGTACGTAATAGTGTGTGAAGGACACAAAAATTTATTACTGCTTTAGTATGCAGCCTTCAATCTAGCATATGAAGGAATACGGCTGAGTCTTCAGATGTGTGTTACATACAGTAATATTTATACTACTGCTGGACTGTGGTCAGGGAGCTGTTTGTGAATGGTTTTAACAGGGTAAAAGCCTCTGTCGCTCAACTGAACGTGTGTTGTCTCTGCAGCAGAGCAGGAGGCAAAGATTGAACAAGTGCTTCTCCTTTGCTTCACAGAAAAGTAGTTAAGTTAGTTTAAATACCCTTCAGTGGGAAGTTTATGCCTCAGCGCCTACTCGTGCTTGCACACTTTGCTGGGAGCTAGATGGTAAGTGCACAGGATCTGTACCACCAGCCCTGCTGACTGATACTTCACTCCGGTGTGGGCATCTCCTTGGTGAACATCTGAAGAAACTCACACTCAACACATTATATTTAACAAATGTAAAACAAACCTAGAAGTGTAACTGTGGATGTAGTCACACATTGCTGCGTCCTTGTAGTTTTCAAGCAACTTCTGACGTTTCGCGACGTGCAACACCTGCTATTAATTTCTTTCATGTGGTAATTCAGTTAAACTGAGAAGATTCAGCTTTGGTTAGAAATAACAATATAGTCTGGAAACTGGCATGATGGTATGATGATGTGGTTTCACGAAGCTTTCATCTTTGAGCAAGTGTGTTCATGTGTATCAGCCCTGAAAAGCACTGGATTTTATTTTTAGCATTTGGTTTGACTGTTATTTTTTTGCAGAGTATTACCTGGAATTTTTTCTTACAGGTCCAGTTCATGAGACTGTGTATGACTTTTGGAGAATGATATGGCAGGAGCAATCAGCTTGCGTTGTGATGGTCACAAATTTAGTGGAAGTTGGCAGAGTAAGTTTTTGTTTTGTTTTTCTTTTAATGCTACAAGCCTAAAGAAGAACCTGCTGACAAGACACACTATCAGAAGAATGTAGGAGAGTCTTGTGAAGGACAACCCTGCATCCTGAGAGGAGGGGAAGGGAGAGAGTCTAGACATTGTTGCGGTTACAGTATTGTGTGAAACCAAAGCTAACTTCTGAAGATGACTGATGCTGTGTTGCCTTCATGAGTAGTGAAAAATTGTCTGAATCCAAAATTCGTATTTCAGCAAAATAGATCTGTATATTGTCACTCAAATAAGCAGAGTAAGTGGACTAGTGAGCAAATGTGCTTCTGTATCAGTGGCTAGAAATCAGCAAATTACTTACAGTTTAGCAGTAACACATCACTCAGGGAGTAATATCTGGGGTTACTTGCAACAGTTTGATTACTGATACGAAATGCATCCCAGTTTAACATAAGTGGAAGTATTCCATAGCTCAGCACTAAAAAAATATTACTGCTCATTTAGACATGAATTTGGCATCTAAGTACAGCTGTGTAAAGCAGTGGAAACACCTTGTAGCTAGTGCTTAACTTGACAGAACAGCCATTAGCCATGACAAGCCACAAGAGCGCATGGTCATTTTGGAAATAAATGTGGTGTAATGCAGTACATGCAGTAATGTATCCTCAAGCTTTTATTTTCCTTTGGTGTAAAATGCATTCCCATTTTGTATTTAGGTGAAGTGCTACAAGTACTGGCCTGACGACACAGAAGTTTATGGTGACTTCAAAGTGACCTGTGTAGAGATGGAGCCCCTTGCGGAGTACGTTGTCAGGACTTTCACTCTGGGAAGGGTAAGGACATTTTGAAGGGGCTTGGCAAAATACCGTTCCCTGGTAGCAAGGAGTATGGAGGAGGCTATGCTTGTGCGTGTTGCTGTACCATACCAAACCCCTCTGTCTGGTTAACAGGTCCACAGCATAGGCAGTCTTACCTCACCGTGGGAGTAATGCATTGCATCAGGCTATCCAAACATGCGTCTCACTGTGGGATTTTGAATTTCCCCAGAAAAGTTGACTGCTACCCTCCCCTCTCTCTTCCCTCCCCCTCCGACAGTCACCTCTTCTCTGTAGCCACACTTCTGAGCTGAGCGCAAGTACCGAGTTATGAGTCATGTCTGTCATTCATCTCCATTCACTCTGCCCTGAATGCTGCTGAGTCAGTCTCACTTAATCAAAGAACAAACTCTGTGAATGCGAGATGTGTGATACAGTTGTGGTCTTCTGGTAAATCATTATACTTGCCTGCAAATGTAGCAGGCCGTTGTCTTAATTAGCAAAACTTCTGAAAATCGATGTGAATTGCATCTAAGTCTATAAAAAAGAAAACTAATGAGGCAAAACTAGCATACTTAATGGCAAAAGTAAAAATTACGAACTTCAAAATGAAAAAACCCCAATGACACCTTAAGGTTCGTATGTTTTTTTCTTTAAGTAATTGGTGAAACGATGAAAACAGCATGTAGATTCTATCAGTGTGTGTTATCATTATTTGAGTCAGAGAATATCTAGTCTATGAAATACTTTGAATTTCATAACCTTTTTTTTTTTTGCCTTTTACAGAGGGGCTACAATGAAATCCGTGAAGTCAAACAGTTTCATTTCACCGGCTGGCCAGATCATGGAGTTCCTTACAATGCCACAGGCTTGCTTTCCTTTATACGGAGAGTCAAATTATCTAACCCTCCTAGTGCAGGGCCTATTGTTGTCCATTGCAGGTGTGTACAGAAGAGGTAGATTGGTAGATTGATTTTTTTCCACAACTGTCTATGTGAGCATTTACAGTAGTCTCTTGCAAAGCATCCATCACTTTGAAGTGCTTTGTTTTTGTTGTTCCCTTTTTGAATTGCCTAATTCACACGGCAGTAGGATTTGGCTGTCTACAGCAACATTTGGAAATAACCAGATTTCTAGTACACTTTTTCTAAACAGAATAGCCAGGGATTTTCTTTTTCCTGCAAGAGCTGCACCAGCTAGATCATATGATACTTCAGCCTATCGTTTTAGGTAGCCTACAACCATTTTGTGACAGCATTCGAGAATAGGTGTAGATAGAGCTGCTTTGATGGCTTGGTGTTACATACAATGTCTGAACAGACTATTAATTTACATAGAAGTAAACAAGTAGATGAAAGAAGATGGAATGAGGTTAACAGCAACGAATACAGAATGTTGGTTTTCCTGTGCAAGTTTTGCAAGGTTTGTGTTGTTGGGACACAGTCTTTTTTTGACAAATAGAATTTTCTTTCAGCACCGTCAAATGTTTAATTACATTCTGTAGATAGAGTTACTCAGCCTTTAAAGGTTTTAAGAATTCACTGTGCAAAAAACTGTCCGTAAGCTTTATATAAAACCAAAATAAATCAAGAGAGATTCTTCTAGATACTGTTAAATGTGCTGCCTGAACCAGCTTAGAGCTTGGCTGGTAAAACATACACTTGAGTTTCTTATTGTAATATATCACTTAAAAATCATGCTTAGCCTTATTAAATAAAACCAAGATCTGTCACATTTTGAAGTGCATAAGCTTAATCATCCTCCAGATTTCAGTTTAACTAACTTTTCTTTTTTACTTTAAATATTGATCTGGATAATAAAAGGAGGAATACAATTTTTTTTTTGCTGTTACTTAGTGGATCAAATCTGATGAAAAATGGTTATTTCGGAACATCAGAAGATTTAAAGGACATTATGAAGAGAAGGAGAGAAGATAAAAATTAGGTAGTGGTTGTGATGAAAGAACTGAATGACTGTATAAAAATGCTCTCAGTAATGGGTTTATAAAGTTCATAGGTGTTTTCATGGGGCTATTCCTAACAGTATTTACTGATTCTTTTTAGTGCTGGTGCTGGACGAACAGGTTGTTATATTGTGATCGATATCATGTTAGATATGGCAGAAAGAGAAGGTGTTGTGGATATCTACAACTGTGTCAAAGCCTTACGGTCCCGTCGCATCAACATGGTACAGACAGAGGTACGGCAGTTTACCTTCAAAGCACCTGGTGCTTTCTGAAACGTGCTAGGTCAGAATTTCACTGTCACTCTGAAAAAAGCAGCTAGTGTCCCTGTTGTGGGATTATCTCCTCTGGGGAGCATTGCTTAGGGCAAACAGCGCCCAGAACCAGGATGGTGCAACAAACATTCCAGCTCTTTCAGTCTTCACACTAACAAGTGCCCGCCTAACTTTGTAACAAAAGGAAAACGAGGATTTTTTAGGGAATACCCTACAGTAGGCCTGAATGGCACGTCTCTCCCCAGCTCTGGTATCAGCAATTCCAGGAACCCAAAGTTGGAATTTCAGCAGGTTGCCACCAGTTTTAGACTATCTCCAATGACTTTATCCGTGATTTGACTTACCTGTGGAACTTTATGTCCATTTCACTCTCCCTTTTCACCTCTGTTTTTATTTGCTGTATTAACCTCATTGCCAAGCCTTTTTCCTTTTCTACCCTTTTTGTCTTTTGTCATGCCTTCAGCAACTCCACAGTAAAACCATTGCCTTAGTGATGAAGCTATAACAGCTCCCATTCTGCCACCTGAGTATCACTGAGCATCCACAGAAACATAGGTTATTGATTTATATTAAGACAGGCTACCTGAAGTGGTTTGCCACCTCTCTCTCCTGTCCTCCGTGTGGACATCTACCTGGGAAGTTATTTCACCCATAATATTGAATGTGACCATGTGCAAGTCTCTGCAGTTGGCAGCCAGGAATATCAGTGTAATTTGGTGCAGTTTTTATTCCATGCTGTAACCTGTGGCAGTTGAACAAATAAATGTTCCCTTTCAACTACCCCTGCTACAGGGCCATTACCCTTTGGGAAGTGTGTGGACTGTTTCAGTGTGACTGCTTCAACCGTCTCAGTTTAATCTGCTCTTGCATGTGAATTAACACGCCTACTGCTGTTCCTTTCTCTTTCTCTCCCTTTTGCCTCTTACCTTTCATCTCCTCTCAGAGGTTCATACTTACACAGCAAAATAAAGCTGTAATTGCAGCAAGTTCTTGTGATGGTCATCTAGACAACAGTGATGGCAATAGCTCCATAGCTGTAGAGCCTGAATACGACCATGGTCCTTGGACGTGTGCTCTGGTTTGTAACACATGTTAAAGTTTGTGCTGTTAATAACCTCATCGGTGTCCACAGTACCTAGGTGAGGCTGGCACAGGTTTCACACTGCGCTGTATAGACATGATTTACATCTGTTACTCTCGGGGTAAGTAAATATAATAGGTGTTGTGTAAAAATTGACAGGAGGCCTGACTGAAATAGTAATGCAGTTGTCTAGGACTCAGGATATCTCAAGGCAAGTCAGAAAAAAAAGGGGAAGAAATGCTGTTTCTGTTGGGACACACTTGAGTTTTAGTACTGGCCTAGAGCCGGCTATCAGACAATTGGTGTACTAGCTTGCACATGCATAAGGAGAATGCAACATGCCAAATAATTGCTAATCACACTAGTAGTTCTTGACACTATTTAAAAAAAAAAAAACAAAATGAGTAAAGCTAGCAAGTCACTGGCATATACGCAGAAACCCACAAGCATCAAAAGAAAACTGAAAACCTCCCATTAAATAAATTGCTATGCCTGTTCCATTAAGTTTTACTGAATTTAAATTGGTTCTGAAGAAAACATCCTTGTTAACTGCATCTCAATTAGGACAAGATTGTGTTTGTACTAAAGCGTTATTTAATGGATTGATGGACACTACCTTGAATGAGTTTTATAGTGTGCAGGAGATCTGTTTATCCTAAAAGAAGGAAAGATCTGGGTTTTTTAAATGGCTGTAATTTTTGTTTCTTTGCCTAATTTGATAGGAGCAGTACATCTTTATTCATGATGCCATTCTAGAAGCTTGCCTGTGTGGAGAAACTGCCATTCCTGTCTGCGAATTCAAAGCTGCTTATTTTGATATGATTAGAATAGACTCTCAGACAAACTCTTCGCATCTCAAAGATGAGTTTCAGGTACTCACAGTTCCTACTAACTTTTCATGTGACAACCATTTTTTTTGCCTCTAGATACATTTATTTTAAGGGAAAGGGTTTTCATATCATGTTTATAGCATTTGGTCCCTTACTTTTAGTCCACAAAATAAAGCGCCCGTGTTTATGTGCTTTGCAAGTTGTTTTAAATATGGAATATCCTCCTTTGAATAAAATTGCAGTAAATATCTGTCTGGAATAAAGAGCACAGTTTAGGAACCACAGAGAGTTTTGGCTTGCATTTGCACAGCTAAGGCATAGCTCTTTAGGGCTCTAAAGGATCCTCTTTGTTTTTTTCCTTTTGGAGGGAATGGTGTCATGAGGAATCTGTTCGGTGGTACATGGAGCACCTTTTACACCTGCAGCTTAACTCCCCTTGAAAAGCCCCAGCTCGTCCATCAAACAGATAGGAGCTTTTATTTGCTAATGTCTTCTTGCTAATGCCTCACGTTTTCCCATATTGCAATATTTTAAATTAAAAGCTGGGGAGTCTCGAGTCCATTGTCTGTTAGTTCAGCATGCTAAAGCGAGCATCCTCTCTCCCTTAGACCCTGAATTCTGTGACCCCTCGTCTGCAAGCGGAGGACTGCAGCATAGCCTGCTTGCCAAGGAACCATGACAAGAACCGCTTCATGGATATGCTGCCACCTGACAGATGTCTGCCTTTCTTAATTACTATTGATGGAGAGAGCAGCAACTACATCAATGCTGCTCTTATGGACGTAAGAGACTATCTTCTTTGTCTGCGTAGTGTGCCATGAAAAGCTATGTAATATGAGAGAGAGCACTTGCTGGTTTAAGAAAGGGTAATTCTTTCTTACTGTAATGCCCAGTAAAAAGGTCCTAATGAAGAAAAGTGGGGGAAATGGGTAAGAAGCCCCACCAGCTTGTGTTGCTTGTTCATAAGGTTTTTTATCTTTAGTCTTATGCATCCTTGTGGGACCCACTGGAAATCTCCCCTTTTCAACAGCATTATATAAGGCTCTAGTCTCCAGCCCTCTGAATCTCAGATCTCAGCAGGATCTCAAAAATCTGCTGTTTGTCAGGAAGTAAATATTACCTACCAGAGTGTGAGGTTACTATCACTGTTTTAGGAGAAAGGCTACATATATTGAGGCAGGAGCGACAGAGGGAGAAAAAAAATATTTCTTTATCATGTTTGGGGATGGGGTTGGCTTTGTTGTTCATATTGTGAGTTGCAGCTCTTTTAAAGACCCTTGAAATTTGAGTGACAGAAGTATTGTCAGGGAGAAAGGTGAATTAATGGGAAGAATGGAGGTGAACCTGCTTATAGGTGTCTGATTGATAAAGCAGTTCATCACGTGTGCTGTCAGATACCTGCCTGAGCCTGCCATTAGTATTTCCAAAGATAGGTCCCTAAAGTCACCTTTACAGTAAATACTTAAGTAAGTGGCCTGATTTGCAGGAGCATCTCCCTTTCCTCAAAAATGAGGTGCTGTCAGAAACTGCGGTGTCAAGAAGAGATGCTGGAATAAAATGGCAAATAGCAGCAGAAATCATCAGGACTGAATGGTACTCATCCCGGAGATCTGCCTGAGCTAGTGCAGGAAACATTTGAACTGCTAGCAAAATGCAGTTCCTAATCTCACAATTAGCTATTGTGCCAGAAAAATAGAGGAGTAGCATGTGTGAGACCAATCTATTAGGGAGTCACTGCGGCTGAATGGATGAATTAGAGCAGGGAGCAGAATTTTGGTAGCAACCAAAATTGTGTAGAATTGCAGTTAAAATTACATTAAGCACCTGGATAAAATTGATGTGCTATGGACCAACCAACACAGCTGCATAGAGGAGTGTGGTTTGGGGAGAAAGGAAGACAACGCAGGCTGAACGGCTGGGTGGCAGGAGGACTCTGAGTGTATAACAGTGTGTGGAAGGCAGGGATGGGAACCAAGCAATGTATTAAGGGATGAGCAATCAGAGGCAAGTAAGGAAAATACAGAAGTGGTAGTAATGAAAGGAAAGGAGTAGCAGAAAAAAAGTAATATATTACAATGAAGGCATATAACAAGGCTATAAGTACAGGGTTAAAACTTTGGGTAATAAAAGCTTTTTCTTGCCCTTTCTCTTCTGTTTTTTTATTAAGACTGATATATTCAGAGAGGGGGACCCCACTGCTGGGCAAGGAAAAGGGACTTTCAATAGCAAAACAGAAATGGAAACTTTCCCCTTTCCACAATGTACTTGTCCCTGTGTTCCCACAAGAAGGTGTCTGCTTCCCAGTGTGACAGCAGATCTCCTGCCTGTTCTTTTTGAAAACGTGATCATTTCAGACTCAGTACATTCTCTCATCTCGGGAAAGACCAGAAATGATGGGGAAGAGGGCTAGGAAAACATTATCTAGTACATGTTTTATTTCTTAGAAATAGAAGGGAAGAATCGATATTGATTGTTCCTCTTTGCTCCCTGGGTAGATCTAGGAAATAGGACACAGGCCGCTACTACCCCAATATGCGTCCTGCATTAGAAAAGGATCGCAAACATAGATAAAAAAGTTGTCAGCCTCCTTATTCTGTTGTCAAACAAGTACTGATGCTAAAGATATTAATTTGTTATCTTCACAATTTACAGCAAGTAGAACGGTGAAAAGAATTGTATTTTTTCCTTCTGGGCCCCATGCTGTGCTCTTCGCGGGTATGTCGATATACTGCACATGAAGATCCCTCATATCAATCCTCAAACAAGCAAGCTTCCATACCAGAAGTGGTTTAGCTACCCTAGCAGGTCTTTCTCCTAGGTTAATTTATTCTACTTAGTTCAAGTAAAAAAACAGCCAAACTGCTTTTGGTACCAGGATGGGTGCTAAATATGGTCATCTCTACATTGCATACAGCAGTCCCAGCACTTCATCTTCAAACTGACTTACAGTCCCATCCGCCTACAAGAATATTCACTATCTTACTCTGTTTCTCAGATTAACCTGTCGGTGCTTCCTTGCCAGTTCATATCTGTATTCCTTCACTGCAGAACTCTTCCGTGCATAGTTGCAAATTGCCTGCAAAAAACTTCTGATCTCTCCTCTTCTGCTTGCTGCCCATAATACATACATGTGCTGCAGGGACTTAGCCTCTCTGCTATTAGTTGCATCTCAGCTAACTTATGCAAGGCTGGAAATCTCTATTTGCAGTTGTGTACAACGCAGCACACAGAAAATGGAATCCGCTATCGTGACAGGAAATAGTATTTTGCTGTTTAACTTCTGCTTTCTGCTGGAAATGGGCCCCAGTAATCCTGAAGGTCAGTTCTGTGGGTGACCCTGTAGTTGTGGCACCGAAACAGAATTTGGGATTGAGCTTAGTCCCCAGTTCAGTCACGGAGCTCACGTGTAAACTGCTGTGGATGGGGCAACCTTCTGAGGCCTCTGCACCCTTCTGTGCAACACGGGGAGAAGGTTTCCTGCTCAGTCTCCTGGACACTGTGCCTGGAGCAGAGTTGCCCGAGCTTCAGCTCAGCAGAGCCCTGAAGAGCGTGTTCAGTGCCCCGTGCATATCTGAACTGAAACAGGGCTTGGCCTGTAACAAAGCAGAAGGCAGACCTGAGCAGAATAACCTCTTTGTTCTTACTGGAGACGACAATGTATTTTTAACGTCAGCTTTGGTGAAATCTGGTGTAATTGATGTCACAGCTTTGTTCTATTTATGTGTTTTTTCTGTTGCAGTGTTTGAGTGGAGGTTATGCAGTACTTCCTCTACCAGTGCTAATAAAATCGTTTACCTTTACAGAGCTACAGGCAGCCAGCAGCTTTTATTGTCACACAACATCCTTTACCAAACACTGTGAAAGATTTCTGGAGATTAGTGTATGACTACGGCTGTACTTCTCTTGTGATGTTAAATGAAGTCGACTTAGCACAGGTTAGTTTGGGGCTCGAGTTTTCCACATACCGTCGCATGCTTTAATCACTCTGGATCCACTACATGATGAAAATGTAGAGCAGTGCAGTGACTTTACAGTTATTCTCTGCTTTACAGCAACTAATTAACACTAGTTGCTCAGTAAAGGTTAGGTGAGTTGTCTGCAGTAGAGTAAGTCAATGCTCAAGTTGTAACTTGCCATTTAATTATGCCCATTTTGCTCTGGCGCAGGGCTGCCCACAATACTGGCCTGAGGAAGGGATACTGCGGTACGGTCCCATCCAAGTGGAATGCATGTCGTGTTCAATGGATTGCGATGTCATAAACCGAATTTTCAGGATATGCAATCTAACAAGAGTAAGCATTGTCATAATAATATGTAACGTAAAAATATGTCATTTTCAACGCCGTCTAGGCTCTTGTGGTTTTTAATTTTGAATAATAGTAAAATACTAACATTCTTAAGACATCACCCAGAAAAGAGTCGGTCAAGCATCAATATCTAATACTAATTTCTAGTACTTTTCTATAGCTGCACGCTAAGCAGAGAGAGCAGTAAGGTGAATGACTGTTGTTCTGTGGCGTTCTCCCTGATGAGTGTAAGATGTATAAGAAGAATTCTGTTTGTTCGGTGTGCAGTGAAAGGAATATCCCTGTAATGAGCATGTAGTGACAGGTATTTAATTTGTAGCTTCTGTAAGACATCTTCCGTGGTGAATCAGGAACAGGACCGCTGAGGCTGGTTATGCAGCCAGCACTTTCTCAGCCTAAGATGTGAGAACAACAACATAAAAGGAGGATTGTGGCACCCTGCAAAGCAGGGTGTGAAAAAACTCTGAAAGCTCCGCTGCCTCTGAAGGGTTCTGCACCACTGTGCCTCAACCTACATTTATCATCTTTTTCTCAACTTCAGTAGCAGTGCCAGTCTTGCATTCTTGTCGGCTCTTTCACACCTTGCACCATCTCATCTTTTTGCTGTCCCATAGTGTTTCGCGCTGTCGCAGCATCTTCTCAAACCCTGTTTGCCATGCAGTGTCTCCTCCTTTAGCTCACCTTTATAAATCGCTTATTTATGTTGCCTACAGGTGAAGAGTTACAGATGCTTGTGCCACCGTTGTATGTGCAGTTAACCAGCAATCCCTATTCTATTTACCATTACTACTTTGTGTCTTTCATCCAATACTGAACTTACACACTACCAATTGCTACTTGGAGTATACGTTTAACTTTCATTACTGTTGAACAATAGCTGTGGGGAAAACTGATTACTGTGTATACAAAGACTTTTTTTTTTCTTTTATTTTGGTCACATTTTCATTTTTCAAAGTGCAGAGATCAGTTTGCGTGTGGCCAGTATTTTATCCAAACCTTTATTTTGCTTATATTCAGAGCTAAGAAAAACATTTTTAGCTCTTCATGCCTTGTTTGGAAACTACAGGAAGCTAAGGTGTAGGCACACTGGCAAATATTACGCCATAGTGCTTTTTTTGTTGTATTTTGAGACTTCCTCTTTTTTTTTGTTCATTTCTTATTTTCACTTTTTCCATTTCTTCTTTTTTACGGTGTTTTGATTTTCTGCTCCTCTGCTTCTCTTTGTCTCCCATGCCTTTTTGCCTTTATGTCTTGCTTCTAAATATCTCTCTGCTCTGTTCTTCCTTTTCTAAAATCCACATTCTTACTCCTTTTTGTCTTCTTCAGCTCCAAGAAACTGAACAGACTATTTATTCTTCCAGTTATTGAGGCTTTTCTTGTGGCAGTTTAATTCTATTCAAAGCTCTCCCTGTGTAGCATCTAGCACATGGAAGGCTCAGAGACTGGCAGCAAGGCTCTCATGATTATCATAGTCTGGCAAAAAGGGAAGACTTCAAGGAAAACAGTCATATTTGTGCACCAATATTACTTGTTGTTTGTTTATAATGGGGTCAGTTCATGCATGGGAGCCAAAGGTATGTCTCTTCACTTCCGTAGGTCTAAGAATTTTTAATTCATTATTGATGTTAAGGATAAAAACCCTTGACACGTAGAATCTAGGGAATTTGTCCGTTTAGAAGAAGGATAGGTTACATTAGTGATTGATAAACTGTGGATTGATAAACTGTGATGTTGTCTTCAATGTAGTTCCCTTTTTTTCCTTTTTTGACATCTTCCTTGAGCTCAAGTGATACGAATTAATGGAGACCCTACCATGCAATCTATATACACGTTTGAATCTGTCCATAATATAAACACTTAGATTTCATGTTAGTTTTATATTTTGGTTTTCTAAACCAAGATGTAAAGGTGCCATATTGACCTAAAGCTCTTTGGTTTCCCTCAGCCACAAGAAGGCTATCTGATGGTGCAGCAATTCCAGTATTTGGGATGGGCTTCTCACAGAGATGTACCAGCTTCCAAGAGATCCTTCTTGAAGTTAATTCTCCAGGTTGAAAAATGGCAAGAGGAGTGTGAAGAAGGGGAGGGCCGGACCATCATCCATTGCCTGTGAGTAATTGGGAGAAAGTCAAATTGCTGCTATTCAAATAAATGCTTATAAATTAGTTCTTGTTTTAAGTTCCAGCAGTATTCCTATGGCTACATTCTTTTGCACATGCCCTTCTTTCTTTTATCAAAAAAAAAAAACCAACAAAAACCACTGGTACTGTAGGTTGGCCTTTGGTCAACTTTCAGATTTGTCTGTGTCAGGTCAAGGTACCATGGGAATGAGTATTTTGGATGTGATACTATAGTGATATAGTGTATCATCTCCTTCTGTGCATAATAGCATGTTTTTCAGGTACAAAATGTGTACAGATCAATTTCTTCTGTACAGTTTCAGTGAGGAAGTCTTTTATTTGGCTGAGTGCCAAATGGTTATTTTTTGTGTATCTCTTGCATATCATGTTGCATTTTTTCCAGAAGGCCTACTATATTTTGAGGGTTTTAGACTGAGAGCTATGGATATATGAAATCAGAGGAAAGTTCTATAATACAGTACGTGATTACGTGATCCTAAAACTGTTGTTGGTAGATGACCGCTGGCTGCTTATCTGAGCCTGATATTTAAATGGGAGCTGGTTTGGGAGTTTTGAAAAGGCGGTATCTTTTTCTCCCTAAGCAGAGAATGACCAGTCTCTCTCCTACGTTATTTCAATATAAAGTTTAAAACTTAGAAATTGAATTATGCATTTCTCCTTACTTTTAAAAAAAGGCTTCTGCTTAAATGTTCAAAATTAATTTGTGGCCCCTTTCTGTCCACCCCTCCTCATTATCTGTGGAACCTTCTGGCTAGTTTAGACTTAATAAGAAGAAGTACCTACCTTAATTTCTTTGAAATGAAGATTAAAATAGTTTAGAAGTGTCACCAAAGGTCAACAAGATACCAAATCAGTGATGCCTTGGCGTTACTCTGGCTAGATAATCCTCATACCATAGGATAATTTAAGTGAGTCTCTTTCCAGAACTAAACGGAGAATGTTGTACTTGCCATTGAACTTAGTTTTTTATTTCTAATGCCTATGTAAATTAGGCTGTAGCATAGCTGGATGGCATGATGGGCTGTAATTCAGAAGAAGTAATTGAGAGGAAGGTCAGAAACAGCAAATGTCTCAGACCAAACCCACTGAGGCTGCAAGGAGATTGCTAAAGCCTGGTCTCCCTGTGAGACTCACAAATCACTCACGCTTACAGACTGAAAGAACAGAAATGTGATTTGGATTCTCTCTTACGCCGTGGTGACATTTAACCAGCTCTTTTCCTTGCGTACAGAAACGGCGGTGGCCGGAGCGGGATGTTCTGTGCCATCGGCATTGTGGTTGAGATGGTAAAAAGGCAGAACGTGGTGGATGTTTTCCACGCTGTGAAGACTTTGCGCAACAGTAAGCCCAACATGGTAGAAACTCCGGTAAGCACCAGCCCATTGGGGTTATTGCAAACAGCTGAGGAGCCAGAGCTCTCTTGTTGTGTGAGCTGCGTTCTCAGTCCTGTGCCCACAAAACAGAGCAAACCTATGTTGGGCCACAAGAAGAAAGGGATGTTGGTTTTGGGTCTTGCGCTCCCCTTGTAGTATAGACTGAGCAGAGGCTGGTCTGATTCTTGGCATGAGCGTAAGGTTGGGAAACGTTACATCCTGTGGTGGAAATTTCTTAAGTGTACACACAAGTCAGCATCATGAGAGGCCAGGCTAAGCATTTTACGCTACTTTTCTTGTAGTGGTACCGTGCTTTTCACAGAAAACATTCTGAGTTAACAGAATGCACTTTAATCTCCCAAAATAACCTGGTCTATTTGAAGAGAAGTTGCAGTGGGTTGTGCTCGCACAAACCATCTTGAAATTTTACGGAGCAAGGCATTTCTTCTTAGTAGGAATAAGCTGTAAAGTCCAGATTAGTAGCTGGAGATGTGAATATTTTGCTTCTTAATAACAACTGCTGCTTTGTAAGCTGTATTGAATAATGATAACGTTTGTTACTTAGATTTGTAGTAGTCAAAATTATACCTCAGAACTTTAAAATCAAAGACTTGTATCTAGTATGTTGGAAATGAATATATAGAATCATTTAGGTTGGAAAAGACCCTTAAGATCATTGAGCCCAACAGTTAACCTAAATAACAAACAATATAAACATAAACTCATATAAACAATATGAGCCTGAATTAGCAAAACCACAAGACTAAATATTTGTATGTATATTGCCAGAACTCAAAATAACCTTCACTCTTCTGGTCAATCTTTATGCGTACGGTATGAGTGCATATCCGTCTGTGTGATCGCTTCAGTCACGAAAACTGAACATTGTGGAAGGGCCTTAGAAAAATTCTCCCGAGTGGATTTTTTTCCTTCCTGTAGGTGAATGCGAAAGCAGGTTAGACGGTGTTTGGGAGTTTCTGCCATTTGACTCTCACACTGCCAGCAGCCAGTGTCACTTTTCAGCCAGATGGCTGCCTACAGCATAAAAATCAGGGACGCCAGTTGAAATTAAAAATGTTTTGCAGTTTATGTGTAGTGAAAATTGCTTCTGACCTTGTGAACTTGCATATTGAACAAAATGGCTGTAGCTGCTTCTTCCCATATTGCCCTTTTTTCTAGGTGTCACTGTTTGCTTGGTATCAAGTAGCTTTTGTGGTATGATTTGCTTAATTATTGTGCATCGCTTCCATGCCTTGCCACCACATAAATTAAGAAGATGGTTAAAATGTTAACAGGTAGAGCATCCTGTAGCAGCAGTGACGTTGGGCTAGGTATTGCTGGTTTTGCTGCAAATACTTTGCAGTCTGGTGTGCCATAGATGTCTGAGACACAACATATTGAATTGCTGCCTGGATTTCAGTTTACTGCTGTGAAGAAAACAGGTCAGATCACATGGAAAATTACTTGTGTCACTGTAAAGGGAGGCCAAGGCAGATTGTGTGTGTTTCTGATAAATGGTCTGTAAACTTATATTTCGTTTCAAAATAGTCCTGAATTCCATTGTAGCTTTAGTCTGCAGTTACTGAGTTTCTGTAGTTACGTGTTTCTGTTGTGTGGGTTTTTATTCAGAACTCTTGAACAGCAGCAGCTGTTGAGTCGTTAGTTAGAAAACAAACCAGGAAAACCAATATATAACACTGTCATGTGCCCTACATTCAGCAACATGATCAGATAACAAAAATGAGCAGCGCAATAAAGCCTTTAAGATATCACCACCACTTCCTGCTAATGGATCACGCTGGCTTCCTTTGCAAACAAAAATAAATCACAAAATCAGATTTGTTTTGTTAGGTCGCAAAGACAATAGAGATTGAATTAATTTCTTTGGTTTTTCTTCTCCTTCTTGCCCTCTCCCCTCTCTTTCCTCCTCCCTCACCCCCAGTATCAGCTCTGAACAGCAGCCTTGTTAAGGAGAAATACTAACCATGATGAAATTTTGAGCTTTAACTTCTCTTTTAAATGGGCATCTGATCTCTTGGACATTACATCGACACAACTGTACAAATGGGCTGTAGGCCCAGAGCAGCTTTGTGTCACAGCTCAATATTCCCTAGCCATTCCCTGGCTGTCCAAGCAGCAGGCACCAGTTAATGGCTCATTATCAGCTAACTTAAATATAAATGGTAAATATAAATGGTTTATCAGAGTCGAGGTGCTTTCACTGCAAAAATGCTCTGACTGATAGGAGAACTTTTCATGTTTGATAAACCAGTTCAGAAGCTGAAAAAATCAGAGAAGCAAATGACTGCATTTCATGGTCAGGTTTCTTTTCCAGTTCATTGGTTAGGATGAGTTTTTAAATCAGAGCTACTACTTGTGTAGTAGGAAAAAAGAAAAAAAAAAGAAAACCCAAGCATGTCAGGCTTGAAGTTAAAATTGCATAGTAGTTAGCAAAGACTATTCTTGTTTGTAGATATTGCTGCTAATACTTTCGAATCTTAATATAACTTCTCTTTCTTTTTTTTCCTCTTTCCCATTAAAGGAGCAATATCGCTTCTGCTACGATGTTGCGCTGGAGTACTTGGAATCCTCTTAGTCAGAACGGATGTGACAAGGTTCACCAAATAACATGAATCTCAATAAGCTGTTTTGACAACAGTTCTTGATCCTGTGAAGAAAGATTTTAGGGGAAGAGGGGGGTGGGAGGGATTTTAAATTTTAAATGCAAAGTATTTTTCTTATGAAGTTGTGTATCTTAATAAAAGAACTCAATCTGTTTCTATGCTTGTATACAGTATCAACATTTAGTGCCACATAAATACTATTTAATGAAAACCAGAGTCAGAAGAGATTTGCGCAGATTAGGACTTTTCAGTGTTTGTATATGCAGCCGTCTCTCAATTACAGTAGAGCGACCATCTGTTGCATGTATCAATATTTCCTATATGGTATTAATTTTTCTTTTTTTTTCTTTTGATACATTGTTAAAGTACAATAACAGTGCAGATTGATAGTAAGGTTCATTCTTTATAAGTTTCAAGTGTTGCATATATATATTATGTATAGTAAAAAAAAAACTGGCTTATTTTGTTTTAATGTGCAATGATGGCTGGATCACATAAAGATCTTTATAAAGAAACTTAAACATAAGCCAAAGACTCAAGTGTAAATATGTCTATATGGAGAAAGCACATGTATTTATTGTTTACTTGCATTCCTTTTTTGATGGCTGAAAAAAAGAAGAATCATTTTTCTTGAAGAAAGCTTTTTTTGCCGAAATCAAGTGTAAACAATTTTTGTAGTTTATTTTTTGTATGTTTTAGTGTAAGTAGAAGACATACTTTTTATGCATAGACCAAGAAACATTGGTATAGTGGTTTTGTTGTGTACATGCTTGTGATTCAAATCCTTGTAAACAACTCAGTTATAGAAGGTCTTTAACTACAGGACCAAAATCAAAACATTTTCCTGAAACTGTATAGTTTTTCACAGTTGCGTTAGTTAAGTACTGATCAAAAAACTATGTAGGGAAGGGCACACATCAAAATGGCCTTGCCTATGACTTGCACAATATTGGAAGAAATTTTTAAGCGCCATTAAAGTTTTAAGGGAATTAATTGTTTAAAAAATATTGAAGCACAGGTCAACAGGAGAACTGCCAGACAAATAGATGGCTTTGCAGATGCTCTTGAGGGTAAAAAAGTATTTGTTTAGCAAATTGTAAAATTAAGCAATGTTTATTTTGATGTTTACGAACATGTAAGCTTTGCTTCCAAGAAAGCAAAATTTGAATAAACCAATGCCAGATTCTGATTATAGTTGTGGTGTACAAAATATTACTGTGCTTTCGCTTAGCTTGTGTCCATTTGTTCTCAAGGTTTTCTATATTTTACCAGCTAAAATCATTCTAGTCTCTTGTTGGTCTTTTTTAGAACTGACAGTAAAATGATAAGGTGCTTTTAAATATTCTGTAAGTAAGAGTGAATTAAACTTTTATTTAAACATTATTTTATATTATTTCCTATTTTGATACCCTCTCACTTACTGTCCTTGTTAAGGAGTCATTCTTGTCTGGAAGACCGATATATTTGGATAAGGAAAATTGTATTATTTTTCACTTCAGTGTTTCAGGGAGTATTTGAGAAGACGCCATGTCATCTCATAGAATCATAGAATCATTAAGGTTGGAAAAGACCTCTAAGATCATCAAGTCCAACCGTTAACCCAACACTACCATGCCCGCTAAACCATGTCCCTAAGCGCCTCATCTGCACGTCTTTTAAATACTTCCAGGGATGGTGACTCTACCACTTCCCTGGGCAGCCTGTTCCAAGGCCTGACCACTCTTTCAGTGAAGAAGTTTTTCCTAATGTCCAGTCTAAACCTCCCTTGGCACAACTTGAGGCCATTTCTTCATCCTATCGCTTGTTACTTGGGAGAAGAGACCAACCCCCACCTCGCTACAACCTCCTTTCAGGTAGTTGTAGAGCGCGACGAGGTCTCCCCTCAGCCTCCTCTTCTCCAGGCTAAACAGCCCCAGTTCCCTCAGCCGCTCCTCAGAAGACTTGTTCTCTAGACCCTTCACCAGCTTCGTTGCCCTTCTCTGGACACGCTCCAGCACCTCAGTGTCCTTCTTGTAGTGAGGGGCCCAAAACTGAACACAAGATTCGAGGTGCGGCCTCACCAGGGCCGAGTACAGGGGCACGATCACCTCCTTACTCCTGCTGGCCACACTAGTTCTGATACAGGCCAGGATGCCGTTGGCCTTCTTGGCCAGGCATCTATATGCCCTGAGTTTATTCCTTTACTTCAGACACATAAAATTACCCATCCAACACTATAAATAGCAGAGAAATGTTTAGAGAAATCTACTTCTCAAATTTTTTTCAGTGCCCCCATCTGTATTGCATAGCTCCACCTCTTCCAGATCTAAAAAAAAGTCTTTTGTCACCCATTGTTAGTTCCTACCTATGAATAGCAAGGTAAACAAATCAGGTTTGAAAACTTTCGCTGGGTCTGGGTTCTTAATACTCAAAATTGCTCTTTTTTCCTTTTGCCACGTTGGAAAGGGGATTATAAGCTGCATGCAATAGAATTGCAACATTCCCAGCTTTCTCTGTGAGGCCATGGCATTCAGCTAACTTTGGCCGTCAAAGTGCCGGATGTATCGTCTCAAGCTAGCTGTCTGGTCACCACATTTTATGGAGACAATGCTGCATCTCCACAGACTGATTCACTCTGCCTGTTAGACATGTGTCTGGGATTAAATGAATTGGACTCTGGAAGAACCTTCCTCCGTTGTCCATAACGGGTGTTGAGAAGATTAGATTAATCTAGAAGTCTAGATTAATTTTTTTGACAGATAAGATGAGTAGCTTGTAGGGTTGTGGAATGCAAAAGCCAAGTTCTGATTTTTGAGTGATTTTTGGTTTTTTGTCTCCTGACCAAAAATATAGCATTGCCATTAGGCTGAATGAATAGTTACTTTCAGGGAGAGCTGCTGTGTTGGGGACAGTGGAGTCCATCCCCACCAGTACTTCATAACCCTTGGTAAGATCTTTGTGTTCGGTTTCCCCTGTACGTTAAGCATGACTGGCGCGAACGCCAGTATGAATCCTGGCATCGCAGCACGCTCTGCCTGCAGAGTCCTCCGTGGGAGCGTCCCCCTCAACTAGAAGGTATGGTAGCTGCTAGTGGTTGTTCCGCAAATGGGAACTCTGCCTACGTTGTTCAAGTACTCTGAGAGGCACGTAATTTCTGTAACTGTAGCTGACTGTGGTGACCTAATGAGCTTTTGCAAGAGCTCATGATTGAAAAACTTGTGGGAAGTTCTTCCTTGCAAGGCCAGGGGAAAGTATGCAGAGGGAATATGGTGTGAGAGAAGCAGCTCAGAAATATCATTCTCCAGTAATGGTATATCTTGGGGGTCTCTTAGGCAAAAGAGAATACTAGAATCAGCTTTTTAGTATAAAATCAGGAAGAGAGAGTTTCCTTTCATTGTGGCAGCTCTGTTCCCCCGGATAGATGCTGCTCCAGTATCCTTTTCTTACACCTGTGCAAGACAGAAGAAAGAGAAGGGGGGGACTGTGAAAATTTGCTCCAGAGGGAGAACCGGTACTGCTCATAAAAGGGAGTGTGCAGTGGAGGGGATAGAAATATTCCTGACCTTGGGCACTTGAAGAAGGAAATACTTTACTCCCTGAGGCAGTGAAAAGCCACCAGCACCAGTATCGCAATGTGTCGGCAGCTCCTGCCCTGGAGAAGTCCATAGGTTTCAAGGCTCCTTCTCAAAATCTTTCTGCTGGCTACTGCCCTTGCTGAAATGTTAGCATAGACTCGGTCAAGTGACTACAGCCTGCAAGGTACACAGGCTCTGCTTTCCTCACCGGCATGAAATGAAGGCAGGACCAACACAAGCAGTAAATACGAAGAGAGCAAATGGGCATCAAGTCAGACTACAAAGAAGAGGCATGGAAGACTTCATCCGTGGAAGAGTGTGAGATGATTCAAATTTGAAATGAATGAATGAATGAAATGAAACTGATGTAATGTCACATAACAAAAGGAACCAAAGGAGCGTACAAGTTCCCAGAAACATGATCGCTCTGTGTGAGAAGGTATTCTTTGCTCTAAAACTGTGAAGTGATGACTCCAGTGTCCTAGTCTCCATAGTTGCTAGGGGAAGGAGCTCTGAGTGTCACCTTGAGGGCTCCAGTTCATTTTCTATAGAACAGTAACCAGAAGTAATTTAGGGATGTGTTCAAACTATCTGAATTTTCCCTAAATAACCAGATCTTAGGATCGAACACTGAAGGACCATATCAAGCATATCAAGCACCTTAAATCCTTGGAAGTGTCTAAAGCAGTGTCATGGAGATTGAAGTTTGCTGAAACACGAGCTACTAAACCTCAGCACCCCGGATGGAGAGAGGCTTTTTTTTTTTTTTTTTTTTTAATTAGAATCTGCCTTCCCTGTTCGTAGTGACCCAGCTCCAGCAAGCGGGTGTGAAGAGACTCAGTTTTTGAACTTTCATCTGGGTCCTGAGAGATCAGACCCCAGCTGGTTGATGAGATCCTAGAATTTACATTTCCTGCTTCCTGGGTAAATGCTGCCATCAAGAAACAACAGCTTTGAAATAGGCTTTGCCTTCCTGGGTAATGGTCACAGGCATAAGTTTGAAGCTTGAAGCTTAGTATTCTCAGTATGTGCAAGCAGTTACTGGGATTTATTTCATTCAGGAAGTCACTCAGATAATAGAATGATGTAGTTTATGGTATGTCCTTGCCTTGCCCAAGGTACTACCTTAAGAAACACAGTATTTAGAGAAACATGAAAGCAAATGCTATTGCAGGAGTGTGCTATTTCAAATGGGTTAACAATTTCCAAAATCGAAGGTCTAAAAAAGCAAACTGGGGAAGCAATGGTAGGCAAGTGCTATGTCATTGAGCCTCCAACGTGAATTGAAATGTTAAAGGACAAGGAAGGGGCAGCCTGAGAAAAAATGTTGCAGAATCATTGCGTGGCCAGGCCACCTGGACTGACAAATGACTGTATAAAGGGCCTCTGTTAAGCTTCATTCTGCTGCTGTGTCAGAAGAAACCCTGAGATCTTGAAATAAATGTAAAAGCTGCTTTTATAGTGCCCTGCTCTGTACTGAAAAGTAACTCATTTTCTGCTGTACTTTTCTGTGTCACGTAGAGGTCTGAATTGAGTTAAGTGATCTTAATCTCACAAAAGAACCTTTGTGGTGGTTTATTGCTAGTGCTCTTCCTTTGTTAAACAGTCAAAGGTCTTGTAACCTCTCCAGATCCAGGATAGTCAAGGTTATCTGTGAATATTCACTTATGTCTTTACCTTCTGAGGTTGAATAATCTGCTAGTAACAGATTGTGTATACTGAGGATGAGACTTTCAGAATATGCAGAGGTTTAGTCCTATAAATTTCCCTTCAACTTTATGCAGCAAAACCCTGTCTTCATTATTTTTTTAACTAGAAGCTCTGTTTGAACAAAATTTGAGTTGCTGACAATATAGAAGA